CGGCGCCCGCCGCGCTTCCCGCCCTGTCCCGCGGGGCGAGGGTCCCGGTTCGCGTCCGGCAGCCGACCTCGTCTCTCAGCTCCGTCGTTACAGACGGGCTTTGCGCGGCGTTTGCCTTCCCGGCGCCGATGGGTTGTGCGGGAGGCGCGCCGTCCGCTCTGCGGGAACGGCACACGGGGGGCGGCCGCCTCACGACGGCCTCCTCCTCGGCGAGGAGCGGGAGCCCCTTTGCTCCAGTCCCTGTCGCTAAACCAGCACCTGCCGACAGCCGTCAACCAAACCCGTTGCTCGGGGGAGCGCTCCTGAGAGGCCGGCGCTGAAGGCGTGAGTGGGATAAAAGGTCTCGACCTTTTGGTTGCGCGTTTGGGAGCCGCGTCGGCACAGCCGCGGTTTCCCGCTTGCGCAGGGGTGATGTCAGGGGGGGGCCCGGCGCGCGCGGGGGGGGGGCGGGGTTTGTCTGACACTGCTCCGCAGGGGAGCACGCAGCCGCGTCGGCACAGCAGCGGTTTCCCGCTTGCGCAGGGATGATGTCAGGGCGGCGCCTGGCGCGCGCGGGAGCGCGCGGTGACGGAGGAGGAGCTCGCTGCCCGCTGCCCCTTCCCTTGATGGATGTTGGTTTGTAAAAGCCTCGGTCGGGGATGCGGGCATTGTCCCTGCTGCCGCCTGCGGGTTCTTCACCCTCCTCGCGTCCGTTTTCCCCGCAGTGGTAAAAAGCACAGCTGAGGCGCGGAGGCCGAAGGCCGCGGCTCCGCGTGCCTCTTCTGCGCGGCCGCCGCCACCTTCCTCCTCCTCGCACGCTGTTATTTCTGGAAGCCCCTCGAACTCTTGGACCGCGCTCGCAGCGGTCCCCGCTCGCAGCTTCTCGTCAAAACAAACCGCTGCTGAGCGCGGTGAGTCACGTCAGAGCCAGGAAAACGGCAGAACCTTTCCGTTTCATCGCTTGCTGGCCGGCTGTAATCTCCCGTACCCTCCTTCCTCTCAGCCTCTTGGTTTTGTACTCATCTCCCGTTGCTGTAATTTAACACTAATAGCATTTTGGTTTGGGTTGCTGTTTTTCCGGCAGGTAGGGCCTTGGTTTGGTTTGGCTTGGTTTTTCGAGTGTGGTGTGTATTAGTAGTGGCAGCACGCTGGTGTTAATTACCAGCTCTGGAGCTTGTTTGAAAGCACCACGGCGCCTAACCTCAAAAAGCAATGAGCCAGACCAGTTATAGCAACAAAACCACGTGCGCTCCCCCAAAACTCAACAAGTTTGTTGCACAGAGCCTGGTTCCCGGTGGTTTTTGTGGGCTGCCAGTCGGCCCGCAAGCCTCTCGAAACTTGTTGTATGGGATAAGTCCTCCGCTGTTAATACAAACCTTTCTTTTCAAAGGCTGCATAAAATTGCGCTGGAAATCATGAGAATATTAAGTGGTGACTCAGAGCGGTGGATCAGTAATTAGCTTTTAGGGTTACAGCAGGCTTTGTTAAATCCTCCTTTTGGTGAAGCAGAAAAACCCCTGAAAATCATGCCCTGGCCTGCCTCTGATTCTGTTACTGTAATGCGGTTTATTAGGATGGGGTTTTTTTCTCCAACGGAAAAATACGCCCTGCAGCGTTAGGTGGGGTTAGCCGACGAGCACGCCGCTCGCCAAGGTAGCAAAATTAGCAACATGATATAAGTGGTTTGCCTTTCTGAAAGTATGCCTGTCCTGGGCCTCGTACCCTTGGCTCCTTATCGTGCGGTTCCTCGCCGTGCCCCTGGCTGGGCCTGGGGCTTTCCAGCACGCCTCGGCTTTTCTCACCGCTAAAAGAGTGTGCGGGATGGGTCGGGAGGGGTGCGTGCCCGCGCGCACGCGTGCTTTTTCTTGTAAAAGTTGAGCAAAAGTAGTATTGTAGGAGGGAATATCGCGAATAACTCGCCAGGGGAATTCCCGTCAAAAAGTAATCTAGGATTTTTTTGTTTTGTTTTGTTTTAACCGCCGGTACGAATGCGTGCTATCTTTACGGTATTTGTGTGCGGAGTAGCATCCGTCAGCGGTGCGGATGAATGGGCTCGAAGAAGTAGTTGGCTTGCTACTCGCTGGGTGGAACTTGTGCCCCGATGGCGTGAAAGCATCTTAAACTTTTTCCCGGTAACGACAGTAAGTAGAAACTTGAATTTATTTCTCTGCTACCTTGCCGGTTAAGATGAATTAAACGTCCGATCTTAAGAAGCTGGGATTCATCGAACTGTGCTGACAGCAGGATCCTAGGCAGCCTTCATAAATCAGGCATACGCGGTACAGCCCCGGCTGTTTTTCTGTTGTAACCTCCTTCCCGTGCGATGTGCAACGCCGGCATTACGGAGCTGGGTGTCGCAGCGTCGAACTTCGGCCGAACTGGGCCGTTGGCGGCGGCAGCTGAACTCTGCCCGCGAAGGGGGGGGTGGGACGCCCGGCATCGGGGCTCGCTGCTGGAGGGGGCTCCTCGTAGAGAGCTGCCGCCTCGATAGCCGGTTGACCCAAGTTACTCGTGGCTCGGTAAGACAAGTGCGCGCGCCCGC